TTGTTAGCTTTTAAGATGCTTGATGCATTCACTTAAAATCTTCCTGTTCCAACAAGAAATACAAGAGAAGGTTTGCAATTGCCTGGCTCTCCCCCATTGTGTTATCTGTTTATACTGATTTTTAGAAAGGGTGCACTTCTGACTTGGCAAACAGTTATCACAGAACTGTGATATCCCAGAGCTGTGTATCCRATGGGATTGGGGGGAGCTGCAAGGTGGAAATCCTGTTAAGCATATTGTGAGGCTAACACAGGGATCAGATGGTTATACTGCTCAAGCCGGCAATTTACTCTTTAATTCTCACTGCCCATGAGTTGGCTCTCAGAACCAATGCCTAGAAATGGCAAGTTTGGAAATGTCAGGGGGTGCTTAGATTCTTCCAATATCTACATCGTCTGATAGGATATCAGGATTGATGTTAATTCTTAATAACCTGCCTAAAATTCATCAGGTGCTTGCTGCAAAAAAAATGCCCCTCGTTCTCTCTCAAAAACTAACACAACACCTAAACCTGGGAAAAATACTGAAAATCACTCTCACAGAAGTGTTAACACTAGCAAAGGGGTGTAATTCTGCTATATTTCTGCATAATCTCACAGCAAAAAAAAAAAAAGGATTTTAATAACACAAAATACACACGGTCTTGGTCCACAAGAAACCAGAGAAGGGAACAGGCAAACCTGTGTGTCAGTCAGTATAATGGGCTGGCTATGCAGAATGTCCTTCAAGCTGGAACACACCTTCGGAGTAAATTTTTTTCCCAATTCCTTGATTGAAGAGTAGGTGATTTTGCTCTTTCCTCAGCTGCAGGACACTGAAAAGTGCCCAACTTTGGTGTTCTCCTGTATTCAATTCGCATTGACCAGGTCAACAAAGGGAAGAGATTGCAACATGATTGGTTGTTCAGTGGAAATGCATTACATTTACTACAGATCTTGAGAGAATTTGGAGAGAGTGGGTGGATGATAAAACTAAATTACCATTTCCAGGCACACACACCAGGGGTAACGGAAGCTGCACTGTACCATGTTTCTGTCATTTATGGAATTTCACTCTAGACACAGCTTTTTTAATTGGAGTAACAATTAATGAAATGACAATACACACAATACCTTTAATGAAAGCATTTTATGGCAGACATGTTTTCATATTTGCTTGTTTAGTGATTTTTTTTGTTACCTTTTGTATGGATTTTGGGTATCTTTGGATGTGGAAAGGCAAGTTATGGCAGCATTGGTGTCACGTTCAAAAAGAAAAGTGTGCAGTGAATACTCTTTTTTGAAGTAACTTTTGAAACAGCAGCTAGAATACAGGGACTGGATGCTGTCATTTAAGATGACCCTAAAAATGCTTTGTAACCAGCTCCTATATCTGTATAAACTTGCTCTCTCCAGCAACACATTCAGGTTGAAGATCCACAGAATGCAATGGGGAGTTTTGCTGAACTATCCAGCCCCATTGTACCAGATGGTACCGTATGGAGGTAACACTGATCCTGTGACTCTGTTGATTTGTAATTAGGTTTCTAGTAATTAATATAGTTTGCAGGCCTTGTGTGAACTCTGCAGATTGCCCATTCATGTAAATAATTAACTGAAAGGGGATTAWTCCTGGCATAAGTTCAACCAAAAAGAATTTTCCAGTCTGAAAATCTTCTCCATCAGTCTAGTATATTGTAATAGAGACTGAAAGTTCAGTTTTCATTTGTGTAGCTCCATGTAAAAAAGAGTTACTTGATACCTGAGTGTTAAAACTATCTGCATTGTGTGTATAAATATACATTTGCTGCAATAGATCTATGTCTTGTTATTCATGGAATTCAAAATGCATATTCAGTATGACTTCATGGTTGGAAAATCTACTTATTTTCACTACTATTTAATAGTAGGTAATGTAAATTCTGTCTTTGAAAAAAAGAGTATGTTTTAGAATTYTACAGTTCATGTTTAGCTGCTCATRCTGGAATATGCARAGGTTGMAATYCTTGCAGCTATAATAAATCAGTGRCAACAGGGGCTGTCACAAARCTCTGCACACAATCAGTTCATCYACCACATGCCCTTGCAAGACTATCAGAGAATCCCGGAATGGTTTTGGTTCAAAGAGACTTTATAGCTCATCCAGTTCCAACCCCYTGCCATGGACAAGGACACCTTCCACTAGGCCAGGTTGCTCCAAGGTATGTCCAGCCTGGCCTTGAACCTGGCCTTGTCCTGCCAAGTGTGCAGCCCCTCCAGGTCAGGCAGGCCTTCCTTGGGAAATGGTCCTTCCAGCCCATTGTGTGTGCAGTCTCTTCTGAAGGATTTGGTCTGACCTAAAACCCATCCCTGCTGCTCTCTGCATTGCCTGGGTTAAAGAAACTCAACACCAAATTAGTGAGGGACACACATGTTGTGGCATGAGCGACACAGTGCCAGTGCCAGCTGAGGGATTCCCAGTTGTGTGGGCAAGACTGAATCCTCCTGCCTCAGTTCTGAGGGGTCAGAGGATGAGTAGAAGGGACAGAGCAGAAGAGAGACAGTGGAGAGAGCTGCGGAGAGCATGGTTTGAAGCACATGGCTGGGAAAGATGAGGGCAGCAAGCCTGGGGCTGGACCACTTCACTCTTCCCTGACTGTCCTTTGGCAGCAGTTTGGGGATGTGCTCTGAGCCAGCACAGCCCAAGAGTCACTCACCTGGACCTGGCAAAGTCAACCTTGGGCTAATAAACATTTTTCCATCCTCACCAATTTCTTGCCCCATGTAACTGCCCTCACTTCACTGACACAGCCTGCAACAAGTCGGGCCAAGCAAGAGAAGTCTGCAGAGGCAAAGCTGGTGAAGGGAACTGCCAGGGAAGCAAACAAGGGTCACAGAGCTACTAAGTGTTGCAGTGCTCAGATTATAATAAATCCCTAACAAATAAATATCCCAAATCATTAAATTCTATGTAAATATTGGGCCAAGTTCCTCCCTGGTATAGCTGTGATTGTATGACAGCAGGGATGGGTTTAGTCCAGTGTGTTTAGATTCTGTATTATTTTAACCAGATGCTTGGGGGCTTGTTTTCCTTTAGTGGCTAATAAGGGCCATCCAAAACAGAGTTACTGATTTGCTTGGGTTTCATTGAAAGAGACACTGCTAAAGGGAGAGGAAATCCCCAAAATGATACTCAGTGATTAAGCACATAGAATATAGGATTTCAGTGTTTGCAAATCCTTTTTTTCAAATGAACTTGTGGCACTAATCCTCTAATGGCATTATTTCTTTGGAATATATGCCGGATTAAGGAGTCACAATGAGGCAAAGTACAAAAATCCACATTAATCTCCCCCTGATGGATGCTGTGTGGGATGCAACTTAAACTATTTTGTTCCAAAATTGGTTCTGYTCCTAACCTTGCCCCAGGTCTAGACAGGGGGAAGAGTAGATATAAACAAGTGTGACACTGAGCACTTGGCAGATGGTCATAGGCCATTAAACTGGATAGAAAGGGGAAGGCGTCTATTATTTTTAAACTCCAAAAGATAAGCCAGCCCTGTGCWGTCCATGACGTGCTGCAGGAAGCAGACACAGGGCTCTGCCAGGAGCAGGACACCTGCTCAGAAGTGTGGCAGGSAGGAATTGGACAGAGCAGCTAACAGGTCCTTGGGCTGGTGTCTGCTCACCTGCTTGCAGAGGAATTGTTGGCTTTGTTTACCAGCTTTATCAATCCTCACCAAAATTACTCCAGTTTGCACATGTCTTCAGTGTATACATACCTGGGTTGGTCCCTTGTATTTAAGGAAGTCTAAATTATATTGCACCAGGTGCAGACAAAGGTGAGCAGGTAATGATAAGGGAAATAGAGAGTTTGCCACATGAGGGGAGACAATTAGAGTTTGGCTGGTTTAGCATACAAAAGGGAGCACCTCAAAGATTATCAAGGCTAAAGAGGTTCAGCATAAATGGCCATGAGTGTGGTTAAGACAGAAATGGTGACATCCACCATTGTAGAAATGAGATGTCAGGACAGACAGACAGACAAAAAAAAATGTCTACTGAAGTTTGAGGTTTATATAAGGCGTGTCCAGTGATTGCATTGAAATRTATCATGGCTCACAAGATTATTATGACCTCTCTTCTCGTGTCTCCTGTTGCTCCAAAACCATCAGGAGTGTCCTAGTCCTCCCTTTTTTTTACTGAACTGTGCAACATCCTGCTGACAGCAGGACTCTGCTCAGCCTGCAACACTGTTTCTGACCAGTATGGACAAAAGGGGTGGGAAAACAAAGAGCTTTTCTTCAGGTAGTAATTTGATCTCTGCTGTGAGTCAGCCTCTTCAAACAACTATCTCAGGGACGCGCAGTGGTCTGTGGAGCAGTATTAAAAGCTGTGCTGCCACTTCCTGATTTCTGCCTTGAGAGTGTTYTAAGCTGGGACATGACTGGAGCATTTAAATGGACTCCTCACCCCCAGGAACRGCAGGCTGACTTTGGCATAGAGTACAGAGGCACGGAGGCATCGGGAAAGAGCCCACAAACCACTCGTGCAAAGCAGTTACTCTCAAACTGATGAAGACAGAAACTTGTGAGAGAAAACTACACGGAAAGTTCCTATTAAAGAAAGAAGTGAGGTTTTGTTTGCATGGCATGGCTCACTGCAAGCCCTGAAAGTGCTGTAAAAACTGCAAAGTGTGAGAGATTCTCAGGTGTAGCAATGGAAAACTCAGGTATGTTCTGTGTTTAAAATAATTCCTCTCTACAGCAGGAAATCACAGCCAGGGAAAGCAGGATTGCTCTACAGCTCAGTAACTGAGCATGTACATCTAGGTACTTTGGTTTGTATCATTTTTGTATTTCTCAGAAATACAGSTGGGACAGCATATTAAGAGCCAGACTTTAAACCATGCCTCAGCTTTTTGTAATTCTAAGTGCTGGACACTTATATCATGGCTATGATGTATGGTTGGATGGAGGCAATGGTGGCAAATTCTCAGTGCCTTTGCCATTATGAAAAAAAGGTAAGCAAGAGTAAACAATATTAAAGCTAATTCTGTCTGCTGATCCCCTGAAAGATGACCTGCAGAACTGCCAGGATAGGCATGAAGAGGACAACCCAAAGAGTTCCCCATTTGACTTTGTTATCAAGAAGTTCCAAGGAAAGAAGARTGCTCCTGAAAAAAAGAGAGAGCAGCCTTCAGCCACCAAGCAATTCTTCAAGGGCTCTGACTGTGGGAAATCTGAAGGCAAGGACAGAAGGGAAATTGAAGAAACAGAAATGAGCAAGTCTGGAGCTGATGATCAGAGTGAAAAGCAGGATCTCTCTGTAGAAGGTAATGTTGGTACAATAATGAAACATATATATGTATATGTTTTAATTTCATAGAAAATYAGCTGTTTTCTTGCTATATAAATCTTGCAAAATCCTATATTGGCTGCGTACAGTTTATCCTCTAGCCAGGATTTCCTTCTGATGGGAATATTATCAAGGATGTACTCTCTGCTTTGACAGGTGCCAAGGCAAGGAGTTAGGCCCATGTTACTGAGGAAAGATAAAGCTTTTGGGTGGCTTCTCTCTTGGTCTGCAATGTGAGAGTCTGTGCTGAGGTCAGCTCATTAGTTGCAGAGCTTATTTGGTTTCAGAGCCAAGCTTGGAGCAGTAGCTTGGTTTGTTGTCTTTARGATGTGTCTCTGTCCTGCTGTCCTGCTAAAGTCATCTGTAGACAACAGGAATAGACATTTCCCATCACTTGACACTGGGCAAAGGGAGGGGAAGGGAATCCATCATGGGAATACATATGTGTTATTTTGCACACAGTAGAACACTCTTTACATCCACTCCAGAGAAAATGGAGCTATTTTTTAAGAGGAGCTTGAAGGTGAAGCTTAGAACATCATCCTGTGTCCTAATGGGTTGGGGTCAGTTTGGGGTAACAATGAGAGGGCAGCTACTGGGAGTGGGATTGCTATTTTCTGTAACTTTTTGCTTTGCAAAGCCTGCAGGAACTGCTTTACACGGATGTATGAAAACGCACCAGGAGCTTTGCAGTGATTTCATCTATAGAGATCTTATCAGTCAGGTTGTTGGTGCACATTGATGATGAAAAAATAGAGTCTGGTTTACTGGCAGATTTACTTCATTTTCTCAAGTCTTCACCTGGCAGCCTCAGGCAGGTTTGATACCTTGTGTTAGCAGCAGAAGTAACCAGGGCATTATTTCTTTGTTGCTCAGATGGACTTTCACATCTCACTTCTGAAGTGGACTCACCATCTGGTGAGCAGAGACTTAACCAGTTCATGGAGAAACTGGGCAAGGAACCCAACAGCAAGAATCTGGATCTAAATAATTGTGCACTAAGTGCAGCAGATGTAACAGAACTGGGTAAATGCACGTTTTATTTAACTTCATATATTTCTTTCATTTTTTATTTGCCTGTTCAGTTATTCCCTCTTCTATTTTCCCTTTCCTTTCTTTTATACAGCCCATACTAAGATTTCATCTAATGATCCCAGGTCCCTGAGAAATATCAATKAATAAATTATATAAATTAGGTAATACATCTAAATGTAAAAAACATACCAATCTGTGAAGCAGATGAATGTCCTTACACTCAAGCTACAGATAAGAAAACTGAGGTACAAATTGTCATGGCTTTATAATTCTATATTGGCTGTAGAAAACATCTCAATATTAATATGCATTGACATTCAGGGTGTGCAGAAACATGCAAACAGAAAAGCTTTTTCTTTTCTTTCCTTACAGCTTCTCTACTGCCATTTCTCCCAGAGCTGGAAGAGCTCAGCCTGTCCTGGAATGGTTGTGTTGGTGGGACTTTGAAAGCTCTCACTGTCCATCTTCATCACGTGAACCTGTTAAAAGTCCTTCGACTTAACAACTGCAGGCTGACAGCTGAGGATGTCATCTCCTTAGGTACAGGATTTCATTTRCATTTACTTCCAGACAGCTTGTGGCTAATGTAATCCATCTCATCTCTTCCCACATCCTACTCCTGCTGCTTCTGCACTGGGCAAAGYAAACTCCTGCTGTGAAACAGTAGAAACTTGGGCTTATGAGTGACCTTATACCTTTAGGTAGCTCTGCAGAGTTCATTCCTCAGGGTCTGAAGCTTTCMCACTCAGAAAGGAACAGAAATCAGTCCTATTTGCAGAAAGAATGTTTTCAATTTAGATTAGTAATTTTTTGGCTAGAAGCAGAGTCAGTCACAATAGGCTCAGCTTAGGTGTCTGAGCTGCAAGACAGGTAAGTGCTCATCTTAAAAACCCCAATGGTCTTTTGGGAGGAGACTTAAAACCAGAAGTGCTGCCTCGAAGCTCTATGACTTGGTGTTTTTTCAAGCCTAGGAGAAGTTTGTTCCTCTGCTTGCTCTTTGTTTGGAGTGCCTGCACCCTGATTTCTGCAAAGCACAAGATGTAAAGGTTTTAAGATGGTGTAACAAACTCAGGTTCTGGCACTGAGTCACTTGTGGGCCTGGACTTTACTCTGGGGTGGATCTATGGTTTGTACTTAAAAGATGAGCAAACACAATCAGTTAGGAATTATAAAAGTTACTGCTTATTTTCTAAGTTCTAGAGTGGGTCTGAGTTATAAAGCTGGGGTTTGTTTATGTCATTGATATTGAAGCCTTTTCCAGGAAAAGTTCAGAAATAAAATGACATACGTGGTGGTAGATCAAAAGTGAGTCATACTATCTCTTGGGGAGGAAATACRCATCTCTACAAAAGCTGGTGAAAATAACTGCTCTGCTTCTGATGAGTGTAAAATCTGTATTTAATTTTCTAACTTTTTTTTTCAGATTTATTTTGTACTTTTTCAAACTCTTTTTTCATATATTTGGGGTTTAGTTTTGTGTCTTTCTTTTTCTTTTGAGTTTTATCAGTTATTTTCCAATTCATTTATTCTGCCAGGTTCTTCAGTGCTGTTTCCTTCCCCGTTCAGTTTAGCTTCTGCTGGGACAGCCACAAAATTGATCACAGGACTTGAATTTCCAGTCAAAATGCAATGCCCTTGACATGKGGAATAGCAACAGTCAGTTTGCATTGATTTTGCCTGTGATTTTGAAAACAACTTGTGTATTTAGGCCAATCCTGTCTGTGTGACCTTGTCCACATCTCCCTGCAGAATTCTGGCCTCTTGTGGACTCAGCACATCCTGCTTAGAAATCAATGTCTCAAATATAACCATAATATCAACCTATTCTAWGTGATTGCTCAGAGCTTGACTGTTAGAAGTGGTAAGAAACCATTCCTGGAGTTATATTCCTTTATTTATCTTCTAGGAGGTAAATGTGTCTGGAATCCTACAGTCCTCATGTCAAACAGAAACAGGCTATGCTGCACTTCCCAACTGCTTAGTAGTCAACACTGAGGCAATAATTTAAAATAAATGTAAATATAAAAACCAAAAAATTAAGATGAGTCCTCTCCTCTCAAACCTGGATATTCACTTACAGAAATAATTATTTTTCTATTATAAATCTTTYGTGAAAAATTAATTATGAAAACCTYRCAGACATGAAAGGATGTTACTATTRAAATAGAATTCTCAATTATTAGACTTGAGATCAAAAAATTGTGTATTACACTTTGAAATTGTATTTGCATATGGTCTGATTAATTGATCATTTTTGGGAATGAGTTTTTGCAAATATGCTCTGCCTCCCTCCTCTACAAAGGAAGTTAGGAAGATGGATTTTACAGTGGAATGTTAGTATGTCAAAGAAACATTAACACACTTCAGATTGGCAGGTGTGTCAAGTCTGGAAAAGGCTGATTTTTCTGAATGTAATAAAAATCATTTCTGTCTGCCTTGAAATCATGGGAAAGTTAGTTTGAGTCAAAACAATGCACATCTTGGTTTCTTATGAAGTGAGTCAGAAATTCCTGTCAGAAATGAAACTTTCACATTTCAGAAATAGCTGTGAGAGGATTTCTTTCATTCCCTCCAAAATGACCTGTGGACACAGTGCAGAGGATGTTGGAAATTTGCCAAACAAAACAGAGCAGAACTCTACAGGATGGTAATTTCAGACTTGTCACTTGCATTGATTTCCCTCTAGACTGRACTTTCTGGGTCCCAGCACAGATGAGGGTTTGGGAACCTGAATAAATTTCAGGTTTGTTTGCACTGTGACAATGACTCGTGATCTATATTGCTCCTTAGACAATGTGAGATTTTATGCAATATTGCTGCAGAAGCAATAGTTCATTTATTTAACATTTTTCTTGGCAAGACATTCAATATAAAGTAATTTGAGAATTAAGTAGCTAACCTTCCTATTTAATATAGTCTATGYATTTTCATCTGCACTGAAATTGATACATAAAATGAATCATCCTAAACTTTTGTTACAGGAGAGGCATTTGAAATTKTTTCTCAACTTGAAGAACTGGATTTATCATGGAATAGTAACATAGGTGGAAGACTATCCCTRCTGACAAAAAAACTCCAGAAAGGATGCAAATTAAAATGTCTGAAAATTACAGACTGTAACCTGACTGCAAAGGATGGAGAATCCCTTGGTACGGGTGTCCATCGAGTTGGACTGAGACTGACTTCACAAAAATGGAACTTGTTTGACTTAGATGGTGGTTGTATTGAGCTCAATATTAGTGAAAAGTTAATTAATTTCAAGCTCTGCATTATAACAGTATTTATGATGTGGGGATTTAATGCACTTTCTTTCARAGAAGAAAGCTGTTCTCTCTATTCATATGAGGGATGGTTTAGAAGATCTAAACCACAACCTGGCTGCCTCAATGGTCCATGGTTTCTGGATCCTTTGAGACCCTGAGCAAAAAAATGTGCGCCAGAATTTCCAGCACTGATCACTTAAAATTAAACAGCTGAATTTGTAGTCAGCCATGGGATTGGAAAGCAGGTCTGAGGATTGGGAATTTAGGCTGAGCTGGCAACCACTGATCACTCCTCCCCTCTGTCCTCTCACCATAGCAGCTTAATCCTGCTATCCTGTGGTCTTTTTATCTCATTGTGTGTTTTAAAAGGTGTTTTCTCAGTAAAGAGAAGCCCCTGGGCTCTCATCTTCACTGCAGGAGGAGTCCCATATGTAACACACATTCCTACATATTTTCATTAGAAAATTTTCTTTCTCTTTGTATTTCTGCTTTTTATGCCCCTGTGTCTTTCTAACAGTCCTTGTACTATTTCACTTTTATTTTAATAAATGTTTTTCACAGATTTTGTTGATTCCTACCCAGTATTTGTTTTGCTGTGTTGTTTAGGTAGAACAGGAACTTAKCAAGTCTAAACCACACTTACAGGCAAACCCAGGCCACACCTTCCTGTTTATCAAGGTGCTGTATTTTTCTAGAGTTCATCTGTATGTATTCCAGGCAATTACCAATTCCTTTTTTATTTTATTTTATTTTTTTTCCCAGCTGAAATTCTAAATGTGATCCCAAACCTCGAAGTATTAGATCTCTCTATCAACAAAAACATTGGCTGCAGCATGAAGGTTATTGCTCAAGATCTSAAAAATGTGCCAGGTTTGAAGGAGTTAAACTTGCACATGTGTGGATTAAAGGAAGACAGCCTCCAGAGCTTAGGTTAGACTTTATGTTCAGAAAGGCTTTTATTCTGGATAAATTGTACATCTGAAAACCATTTAAGAAAGGCAGTGAGGTGGGATTTTGCTGGTGGTTTGGCAGTATAAATGGGCAATYATTATTTGCTGTTTGAGGATTGATAAAAGACTACAGTGCCTTTCAGCAGGAGTCAAATTTATCTGCCCTGAACTTGTGAAAATCAATGGGGAGAGTCACCCTCCACACCATTTATCTGAGACACATCTCAGGGCTGATGAGTGGCTCCCTGGACGTGCTTTCTCTTTCCCCAGACAGAACATAGACAAGAACACAAATAGGCCAGCTAACTTTTAACAGGATAATCCTGCTCTCCAAAGGAAATCAAAATTCACCCTTATCACTTAAAGGGTGTCCAGTGAAGCCATGTGAAATGAGCTTGTTATTTGTGTCTCTCCCTAGTGGATGTGGCAAAACAACTGGCATTAATTAGCACRTCCAGCAGTAATTTCTGCAAAAGGCTGAGGATTGACTGGATCTGGGGGATGAGCTGGCCTCACCTTCACCTGCTCTCCCAGAGAAGAATGGAGCTGCATGGWCGGGGAGGCTTTGCTGTATTACTGYRTGTCTGCTGTGATTATACACTGAAGCTTAGCCCAGGAGCTTTGCCTGCAATACCTTGTGCAAACTTTGACGTTAAAGTGAAGAGAGCCAAAGCTCTGACCTGGGCTGTTGTGGCAGCCAGTGACCAGCTYGTTCCCTTTTCCATTGCAGACACTGCTTTACAGCACCTTCCAGAGCTAAGGAAATTAGACATCTCGTGCAACAGAGAGATTGGTGGTGGCTTTAAAGACTCAACAGCTCATTTGGCCAGCTTGAAAGATCTGGAAGTCCTTGATCTTCACCAGTGTTGTGTCACAGAAGAGGACATGACCGTTCTGTGTAAGGACATGTTGAGGAAATCCATTAAGGATCTTGTTTTTCTTTCTGAAAATATCTGAGAGACATAAAAGATTCTGCCTGGCAGAATAGCTGATCTCAGTACTTTTTTCATTAGGCAGCTCTGAAAGTGYAGTGTGGGGGAGAACTTTCTTGATGGAATGGGTTTTTTGCTGAACCAAATGAAATCTCAKAGTGTGATCCCACATGGAATTAAGGACCTGAATCTGCCATGATTCAAACCCACAACTGAAATRTGTGAACTGCCACCAAACACTGCTTTTTTGGATAATCAGTAATTTAGGAAATATCCAGGGACAGTTCCCCAGTGGTATAAGTTGGATGGATCCAAGGTGTGTATGTGCAGGGAAATATGACTGCCTAAAACTCTCTGAGTGAGCTGCACACCGAGTACAGAGTGATTTTAGGAGATCTTGCATTGCTGCTACTGTGTGCTTTCTCCAGGTTGWATTAATGCCAACTATAAATGCTACTGGGAAGAAAAAAGTATTTCTCAATCAATTTGTGAAACAGTTAATTTTTCTCCCTCTGTTATCATAATTTTTTGACATTTGTCTTTACTCTTAACAACAACAAAAAAATCCCATGACTCAAAGCCTATATTGCCCAAATCCCATTTTCCATGACAAAGAAGATAACTTGCAGAGCTGATGAGGATGATGATAAAGCTCTGGGAAATATTCAGTATTAGTAATATCAATCATGATTTACTTTTAATATATTGAATAATAGAGAATAATAACTTTAAATAAAGAAGTTTCAGTTARCAATGAAGTCATTTGGAATTTCCCTACTTTACCTAGAAAAATTCCAGGAAGCCATGTTCTGACAATCTTCCACATAGTATGGAATATTTAATTTCTTAAACAGTTTTACTGAAAATGACAAGGCTATTTATTGCCTAAAATATTACTCATCATAGATTTGAATGTAAAAACTTGGCCTTGACTTTTGGATTGATTTGAAAAGAAATTATGTCAGGCAGACTACACATTTGTTATGGATCAGTGACTGTCTAATAAATATTTCATRTTTTCATAGCCCAGGTGATACCTTTACTCTCCAGTCTTCAAGAGCTGAATTTATCCTCGAATAAAAATGTAGGAGTCTCATCTGATCCCCTTCTGGGCAGGCTCAGGTTTTTACCAAGGTTGAGATCTGTGACCATCAGCAATTGYGGCTTAGGTGAAGAGTCCCTTTCAGCACTAGGTAGGAATGTTTCTTTAAAGTATATCTGTTCTCTRTGTRTCCCTKTAGGACAAAGCATTCCCTTYTCCTTTGGCTGAAYTCCAAGGATCATGGTTACCTTACACCTCAGGTCCCAAGTGAGAAAGCCTGTGGTGAAACCAGTGCTTTGTGGGACCAGGTTGCAAGRGAAGAGAATTGTATGACTTCCCCTATTACACCTGAAGGAATGAAATTCTCTTAGTCCTTTGTCTGATAGTGAGCTTTTATATACTCCTTAATTTTTGGGAAAAAACAGAAAAACATGGTTTTATGTTATGCTGKAATCATAGTCTGGATGTAACACTTCACTCAGTGGGGTAAAATTTTGACTGAATGTTTCTCACCTCACTGCAGGTRAAAAATTTCAGTAGAAACTTTCTGGGGTAGAGTTCAGCACAGGGCAATGGAGGAAATGACTGCAGTGGTGGAAAAAGATACTGCACAGACATGAAGAGAAGTCCAATCTAATGCAGGATATRTAAATTCAGCCTCTTTTGCCTACTTGTTGCAAATCTCTGTGGATTAGTGGCCTTTGATAGGTGTTCCATATGGCACATGAAATGTTAGTACAGAGGGATCGTTGTGTTACTGTRTKCTGTGCACTTSTAYTTTGTRCTGTTTACTAGTGACTTTAAACCTRGAGTAAGACCTGACTGCCTCCAGCAGAAGCAGTAGAAATCTGAATGGTCAGAGGTCCCTGCAGAAAGAATGTTATGCTTATATCACTACAATTATGTATGAGTGACACTATGGAAATCAGAGTTGTCAAAAGATATAAGCATTTCACGTTAAATAGTGAGTTCACAGCAAAAAAGATGCTGTTTTAAAATTGATGTAAAATGGTTCAAAAGCAAGCTGTTGAATTAAATTAATTCAGTGTGACAAGGCTATGCAAATAATACAAATATAAAGCCAAAAAAACCTCTCCATACAGTCCTGATAGATTCTATAGGCTGACCCTTCTTATTTTCTTTTGTCTGACTTTTATTTGGGGTAAAAGAATTCATTCTAAGCACAAGTAGCCAGCCTGTTAGGATCCTACTTATGGGTGAATTGCAGGTGAGGTGTCTGTTGAGGCCGTGTTGTTTTCTCTTAGTAAGCAGAAGTTGCTGGTCTTAATCTTTTCAGCTGAGGCTGCCCTTCACCTTCCTGAACTGGAGATATTAGACCTTTCTTGGAATAAGTGCGTTGGTGGGAACCTAAAGCTGCTTTTGGGAGCACTAAAGCTTGCAACGGAGATTCAAGTGTTAAGACTGAGCAGCTGTAACTTGGTGGCTGAAGATTTGGCACTTCTAAGTACGTATAACATGGTATTTACTAGCACTCAAGGAGCCAGGGCATTTAGACCACAATTCAGAAGGGGCTTGTTCCATGGGCTGAGCACGTTTTTTCATAAATCAAATTAAAACATGGAAAATACAGGAGTATTTTTCCCAGAAAGGGCTTTCATTTTTTTCTGTGTGTCCTGGACATGCCCAGTGAAAAAGCTCAAAAGGCTAAAATGCAAAGAATCTTTTAGCACTTTTATGTATCAATTAAAAAAAAAAAAAAAAAAAAGTTTGTGATTCTGTGGGCCTGACTCAGGGATTTGAGTGTCTGAGATTTGCAAAAACTGTGTGACAGCTAACAAGGCCCTGGAATGTGAAATCTGGTGAGTCAAGCCTGGATATTTTTGACCTTAAAAMCCATCACCCTTGATGGGTGTCTCCTTTGCCAATCATATGTTAAYGATTCCCTTAGGGTATATTAGGCCCTCCCACAGTGAGAGGTGGCTGTTGTAGCCATGCAGCCTCACCTAGTTTTGCTTTCCTCTTTCTAAAACTCCCTGTAAAGCCTGTCTGCCTATTATAATTGTCATTTGATAGAACCTTCCAACTGGCTCCAAGGTTTTCAGGTTGTCCTACACTTTTAACTCAATACTTTGTTCCTTTTGAACTGGCTGTATCTTAAATGTACACTACTTCAGCTGTGATAAAACCATCTTTCTGAGRTCAGCAGCAAGTGGTTTTATGTTACTGCTTGACTGTTGAAATGAGGTATTAAAATACTACTCTCCTTTTTGAGAAGCTTTCAAAGCAGTTGCCAGGATTTATTAGTGTTTGTGTCTTCATCTCTTGCAGCATCCCTGAGGCAGGATGGCCATTTAGCCAGATTGCAGAAGCTGGATTTGAGTTATAATAACAACATCTCTGATGAAGGCTGGGCTGTTTTCTGCCAAGGTTTGGGAGCATTCAAGGAACTCTCAGAGCTGGATGTGAGCTTGCGGCCATCGTCCCACCGGGACTGCGGGCCATGGTTCAGGGAGCTGGTGGCAGCACTGGTACAGCTGCCAGCCTTGGCAGAGCTGGGCTCACAGAGATGGGTCCTTTCAGAGTCCCAGAGGAAGCAAATGGAAAGCTTTAATCAAGACAACAAAAGAAACATTCGTTTTGACTGTTGATGAAGGTTGGAGGTGTCTGGAAGGCCTTTTGGGAGCAGCACGTGAACCAAGCATTACGTGTCTCTGACTCAGAGGACTGCAGTTTTTAATAATCTCATGAAATAAGTTCACTGTTGAAGAAAACTGTTATTTAACCTCTGCACCATAGATCATTCCATTTAATAACATATTCTTTCAGATCCTCTGGGCAATGCTTACACTGCTCAATCTTAATATTATGAATATTGAAATGGCCACGGCCCAAAGAGTAGTGCTGAGTTCAGAGGGACACACTGCAGATTTGGCAGTGAAGGGAAGGGCTGAGGAGTGTGTTAGTGCAGATGGGTGGCCAATGTGAATGTGGCCTCAGAAAATGCCTCTAATGTGAAAATACTTGAAATCGCCATATTTTAAATTTTAGTTGATTTTCCAAAACTTTTGCCTCTTTGTGAATAAATTAAATCTACATAACTGGGAGATTTGGAAACCCTCTCAACAACTCAACATTGTAGATTCTCCAATAAGAAGAATACAGAAAGAGCTTGTCTGCCTCTGCTCTGGCCCTTGATGCCATCTCATAGTGTAGRTGAGACCTGTGTAGAGAATCAGCATAAAATCAAGGTAAGAAACAATTGATTGGTGTCTTTGCAAGTCTCAGGGRCAAGGAAAAAGCTGTGGTACATTAAATCAGAGATATGTCCTGCTACCTAAACAAGAATTTTGGACACAGAGGAATCYGTAAGTGCCAAATTCTGGCATAGTCACTCGTGTCATGGAGCATGTTAACCCACACGTGAGCTCCAGGACTGCAGTGGGATTATTCATCGGTAAGGTATTTTAGGAAGTAAAGATATTAGATCTGCCCACTGAGTGAGGAGTCTTAGAGAAATCCTGAGGCAGCTTGAGGGATAAAGTACTGCTCAATTAGCTCTGAGCATCTCTGCATGCTGCAGCAGTCTCCTGGAGGAGAGGCACAACAGGATCATTGGGTGGCACTTTCCTAACTTGATMAGGGTCCCTTCAGTATATTTTTCACTGCAGATGCTGATCAATATTCAGCTTTCAGTCCATGTGACCCTTCCAACATCAGCTTTTGCCTGTTCAGGGCTATAGCCAGCAGCCTACCATGCTGTGCTGATACCTATTGATCATTTAATCCATGATTTCATGGAAGAGTCACCCTGGACTTCCTGGTTCCACTTACAGTTCCACTTGAATTTGGCTCYCCCAGCTCTGAGAAATATGAGTTGGAGTCTCTTGGTCAGGGGTAGCAGGGAATTGCTGAAGCGTGGGATGAATGATTTCCTACGGAGATCCTGAACTTCTGAAACAAAGCAAAGAGCCCTTGTTTCAYACAGGACTGTCAAGAGAGATTTTCAAGCAGTGACTTAAGCCAGGACAGTTGTTCAAATGTGTAATACCATCATGTCTGTTTAAAAACAGCACACCAACCTGTTCTCTTTCTCACTTGTCTTCATGTGACTATCCTCCCCAAATCTGCCTTTGATCCAACTAGGAAATGGATCCTTTATCTCTTCCATGAGAATTTCTGTGAATTAATTCTTTCCCACCTGAACTTCTCTCGCTAGTTCATCTTTGGTGTCCAGATTCTGTTGAAATCTTCCTGACTGAACTGGACTTCAGTGTCGGGGTTTCTTGTGCTTTCATGGCTACTTTCCTCATTCTCAGCTCCAGAGAACAGTACAGATCCACTGCTGGCAAATTCTCCCCTGCTCCTGATCCCCCTGCTGAGTTCTTCACCCTCTTATGATTCTGTCATGCCTATTGTGCCACTAAAAAGCTTTTGTTCCTTTTATCACCTTGACTAAATGTCCTGTCAATCTGCCAGTTTGCCCAGAAATCTCTCTTCCAGTGATTTCTTCCCTGGTAATTTCTGATTCATCCTTCTCTCTGTTCCTCTTTGCCTTCACTTAGGGTGAAAAAATTTCATTAGACGTTTCCAAACAATCAAAACAGCCTCAGTTACTCAGTGAAATGGAAAATGAGAACAGAGCCGTCCCACTTTCCTGCAGTCCCAGCTCTCTCCTGCCAACAGCATATTAATGAGATTTCAGTATCGATCAAGAGCCAAACAGAAATAAGTTCCATACCCTGGATGTAGATTCAGAGAGCACTACATGGAGATGGAACTCTGGGAGAGCTCATCTCAKACACCCTGCTTTCCCCACCTCCTGCAGGATGCACTGCCTTCCCTGGAGCCACACAAAGGGAGGGAGATCAGGACTGCAGTTCTGACCAGCCAGTTAAACTAAATAAAGGGTTCTGCTCCCACCCACTCTGCATTTTGAACCTGCACAGTGGCTGGCCCAAGTCCAGCTCTGTGCTCTATGAATGCTACAAATAGAACTGTGAGGGGGTTAGGAGGTAACTGAACAATACAGAATAAAAACTAGACAAGGACATTGTGTGTCCAGGACAAACAGCTGTCTGCCTGTCAACTGCTGTGGAAAGACATGGTTACATATGAACTGGTATGTAAGAATGAGAATAATATTATGTCTGCCATGGTTCTTTTGAGTAACAAAGGTGTTGTGGTGTGTCAGAACCAGAATCATGGCAGAAATTGTATCCTGCAGAACCACTGCTTTCAAATAAGCCTGTTGTACACAGACATCACAAATTGTCACCAAACCACCTCACAGATGAGCAGTAATACWAAGGATGTGACAGCCTGCAGTCATTCATGGTGCTGTCATTATAGATTGTCAAAACATCACTGAAGAGTTTTGCAAAAATGTGGAGATACTTTGAAAACAGCTTTTTACACCTCTGCAAGACAGGATGGCAATGCAGATCCTGGTAGAAGTGTGTGCGTCCTGAGTGTCTGGAATGCTACTCCATACTTCCAAACAAGGTACTGATAATTTCTGGAGGTAAGGTGCATAAGTAAGATTTATAAGCTGTGGTATTTTTGGGATCCTTACTAAACACAGAGAGACAGCATGAGTTTTAAACACTGAGCTTWGATATTATTCCTGTTCTGACAGCTCTGGCCTGATGCTGCACCATGGACCTAAAGAGATTAAGACTCCCTTCAGTCCTGTATTTGAGARCAGCTGAAGTCCATGGAATTTCCATGTTGAAGCAGATCAAGATCTTTCCCCTTCTATTGTTCCTGCCYGCAATTTACTTATGTCTTCTGGCATCCATTTAATTCCTTTATCTTGTCCCAGCTATAATTTTTCTAATGACTCCAGGAAAAGATCTCATTTGGAAGATACTGAATTGATTTTCAGACAGGCTAAGGCATTTAAAATTTTCAGTTCCTTCACCTCMRCAGGTATCTAGATGCAGTCATTAAAAAGACATATTATGTCAATTAAATAGTAATCTTAGGGATTTTGTTTTCAGGGAAGAAATCTCCAAAGAAAATTTTGTGGAGCTGCATTACTGTTGATAGATGAACACAGAATATTCTCCTCATTAATGTCACATTATACCTCACAGTATGGTAGAAATTTTGGCAAAGACATCTATGTTGTTTCCTGTGCTGGAAAGATTTCTTATGGGTTTAATTTTATTTCTTAGCAGAAACATTAGTCAGCTTCTTMATTTCCTTTGTATGCACAGTGCAGGAGAGAGCAATTTAAATTAATGAAACCTGAAAGTGAGTCTTTTGCATAAATTACTACTTCTGTAAATGTAACCTCCAAGAAGAAAACTGCAGCAGTGAAAAAATCCTTGGAAAAGAAGCACTGCGTTATATAAAAAGGAAGGTGTATTCTGAGCCCCCAAATGAGGATGTCTATGGATATTGTTACACCTGCCAGCCCAAGGGTGCATAATTGTTCATTATCAAATGAACAGCAATTGTTAATAGAGTTTAAGACATTAACAATARCATCCATTTTTAAATTGCCCTTTGCTCATTTCGTGACATATTGATTCTATGCAAATGCAGCTTTATTTTCCAGTGTACACATACAAAAAAAAAAAAAAAAAAAAAAAAGAAAAAAACTGCAGCAGTTCCTCCAGTCAGAATTCCATCTTTATGATTCAACACAAAGGTCAGTCTTTCCTGCTTTTTTTTTTTCTCTCTGCCTGAATACTGAGATGCCAGAAATAATGAGGAACCCAGGCTGGGGAGTGTACCAGTGGAATATCCTTTCTCACTGCGGTAGGGAAAAGTGGCACTTGGTTGTAATGGGGAGGTATCAATAAAATAAAAATTAAAACGAAGGAACAAACACCCTCACATTTTTCATATTCCTTTAGAAAGATCTGATGTCCTGACACTGATTAACCTGGTGGAGAACCCAGGCACAGTGTGTGATGTGGTGTTCCTCACATAAACACGGGACAGGGATGGCAGCAGCAGAGCTGGTGTGGGATCTCCCCCAGGCTGCCCAGACACTCTGAGTGCTCTGATGTCAGGGGGATTCCTCAAACCCGGAGGGAATTTGTGCAGGAGATTATCAGACAGACCCAGCACAGCCAGCCCCTGGCAGTGCTGCAGTGCAGGGAAAGGGAGCCCACCCCCTCCTGCCTCGGAGGGCAGTGSTGAAATCACCGGAGGGATTTATTTGCAGGAGAGGCCAGCACAGGAATCTTTGAAGGAGCAGCTGATCCATGTAACCATGGAGAGTTCTGCAAAGGCTCCTCGGAAACCTCGGGCAGACCAAATCCGTGCTCCGGGGTGCAGTGAGGAACCTGTCGCAGGGTCTGGGCAGCGCCGGGGGCTCAGCCCCGCACAGGGGACACCCGGGGCTCCTGGCAACCCCCAGCCGGTCCCTTGTGCTGCCAGCCTGGGGCACCCTCCTTGGGCAGGGGCTCTGGGACACCCTCCTTGGGAACGGGCTCTGGGACACCGTCCTTGGGCACGGGCTCTGGGGCACCCTCCTTGGGCAGGGGCTCTGGGACACCCTCCTTGGGCACGGGCTCCGTACTCGAGCTCAGCTCAGCCCGGTTACCGAATCACCGCGGGCCCGTCACCGTCACCGCAGGCTGAGCTGGGGACGGGGAGATGTGGTCAGAGCTCAGGTAAGGCCTGTGGGGCTCAGCTGCCGCAGGGATCACTTCTCTGATGGCTCAGATCCTTTAATCTCTGAGTTTATTGCAGAATATTCTGAGCTGGAAGGGACTCACAAGGATCAAGYTCAACTCTTACATGAATGGCCCACCTCGGTATTATTAGCTCTCTGCTCTAATCTACAGCGCATCAGAAACACACCCACCATTTTCCTCACGCTTTCCTGTATCTGTTACTCCAGAACACAAATTGTAACCCTTTCCAGACCAAGCCCATTTGTATTGTTATGCAGATCCCTCCTGGTGCTGTTGCTAGGCTGCCATAACGATGCAGTAACATTTGGTTTTGTTTTGCAGGCGGTCATGTCGGTTCTTCCAGATCTTCACCTGCASTATGTGCAGGCCTGTCAAAATCTGAGCCAGCCTGAAAACCCCTTCATTGCTCGTGTGCTTCAAGAAGCTGATACAAATGATGAAATGTAAGGAAATAACAAATGGTGTGTTTCAGATGCTTCTGAATGCCTTAAACAGGGTAGCGTGATGAGGAATTGAAAAATGAGAAAGTTCATGCAGTTTCAGGCCTAAACACAAATCAAATTTCACATTTACTGCTGAAGTTCTGGTTTGACTCATCTTGACATCATCTTGGCAGAAGTTTGTAGCTATATATCCTTTCTGGGCAGCTTTACAAGCAGTAAAATCAAAAAAAGTGAAAAATGTACAGGATGGTGCCTTTCTGTCCCTTAAAGAAGCCAAACCCAGTGTCTAGTTTGTCTAACTCCCTTCTTCATGTCTCACTCCTGTTTAAAAGGCCTCAGCYGCATCCAGTTGCCTTCCAGCTGGTCACGCTTCCCTGAGCTGTCTCAGAATCCAGCCAAGYTATTAACCACCCAAATTCTCTCTCATTAAGGGTTAGACACTGCTTCCTCTCATGGATGCTGTTAGGGTCAAAGTTAGTCATCCTAGGGGGAAAAACTGAGAAGATGAAATTGTTTCYGTTAGGTTTTGATTCTGGCGGCAGGATAAAGTAAATAAAGGAAAGGGAGCAAGTAAAAAGAAGATGATGAGGTAACCTTTGAGATAATCTTTATTTCCATCTGCCTTCCTCCCATCTTGCTTATTCCTGTTTTCTGTGCAAGTGTGGTCTTGCAGCTGAGCAGGGCCTTCAGAAAGGGCAGTGCTGAGCTACAGCTTCAATCTCATTCTCTGTCATGGTGTTACCAAAGAGGGTGGCAGCAGATAACCCTGTGCAAGTGCACCAGTGAGGGCAGCCACGGGCACACCTCTGATCTGGAGAGAGAATTCATTTGCCTTTATCATTTTACTTCTCCCCATGTGCTTACGTTTTTATGTTACTGCAGAAGTACAAAAGGAATCACATTAAAATTAGCTGGAAATAATCATCTGGTGCCTGTGCCAAGAGTGACAGATGATGATCTTGGAGTTCTCGTCTCTATCTTAGGCCAAGCTGAGTTTGTCACAGGTGAGGTTTTTCCCTGTGTTTGACATTGTTGTGATAACATAACAAAGCATGATCAGTCTTGATTTCAGCCTTAGTTCATCTTTGTTTCTTTTTGTTCAGAGATCAGTTCAATGTAGATATGCATCTGTCACATTTCTTACTCTTCATCTTTTTCAGGTTTGGATCTTGCCTATAGTGAATTGACTGATGCTGGAGCACAGACCATGGCAACATTCCTCCAGGTACCAAGAGATGTTCATCTTTCAGCAACTTGTGACTTACTTCTCTACAGTAATATTTATATGTGGTGTAGTGGGGACAAGAATGAGCTGGTTTTGGCAAAATCCCATGAATTTTGGCTTTCACATCCCAGTCCATCCTACTCGAACTTCAGATTGTATGCCCTGTGGAGATTTTTGATTTCTGGTAGAAGGCCATTGGATATTTGACTGAGATGTCCYGAGGAAAGAATGGTGAAGTAAACAATGAGGCTTTTAGGCTTACAGTTCAATTCAACAAAGGGAGTAATGGTTGTGTCAAGTGTGCCAGGGCCTTTGTTTCAACTATTTTATAATCTGTTAGCCTTTTTATAGGCCTAAACATAGGAAATTTTAGTGCAACCTTTTTGTCATTGTAAGCATTGGGATGCAGGTGGAAAATAATGAATTCTCATCCTATGCCTGTGTTCCTAGAGTTTGAGGGACACTATTAAGTTCCCAAAATGCTTGAATTTGTGCATCTGAGTTTGACCACCTGCCTCATGCACWGGGTTCCTGGGTGGTTTCTGAGGCCCTGTGGGGATCCTCCCCATGATTGGTTTTATGCCTTACCCTCATTATTTGACATACTTTGCCATCCTTTGACTACTCCTCCAAATCCTGAGCTGCCTGAAAAGCAGCAAAGAGCAGAGTTCTATGTGTGCATCACTTTTTTTTTTAATATAGGTGTGCTTCGGAAAAAAACTCTCATTGCTTCCTGCTTTCTTTGTTCCCAAGGAAAACTCCACTCTGAGGTACCTGAACCTGATGTTCAATGACATTGGCACAAATGGGGCAGAGCTGATAGCAGAAGCACTCCATGTGAGTATTTGCCTGGGAGATTTAGACAATGGCATCTCCTTTGATATTTTTGCTTTTGATGACCAGTACTGGCTGTCCTGCCAGCATTAGAGCTGGCTGAAAGGGGCCTCTGTCTTTGCTCCATTCAGCATGTTGCTGTGTCACAGGGATTGCCTGTTTTCCCAAGCCACACTTCAGAAATCAGATTTCACACAAAAGAAAGTTGCACTGTGCTGGTATTAGCACTTAATTATCTATTAAAAACACGTGATTGTCTATAAAAAGGACAACCATCATAGCTGGATTTTTCTATGTGAAAAATCCTATGCAATAGGATATATAATGCCATTGTTTTTTTCCCTTTTTCCCCCCAAAAGTTATATTAAATCTGCCTGTACTTTGACATCAACATTTGTTTTTATTCAAGACATMTGAGACGTGTTTTCAAAACTTTGCCTTACAGCAACACCACAAAACAAAGTTTGTTATTTTTAATGTGGTTTCCCGAGGAAATGAGGCCTGTGTGTAAGATTTGTTGTGTTTGTGAAAGGAGACTTACATGAGCCCTTTCTTCCTCCTTCACAGTCTTTGAACCCTGAACTGATTTCAACTAAATTTGACAGGCCTCCAAAGCACTGAGGCTGTGCAGTAGATGTACAATGCTGGGCTCATACAAGGCCTACCAGATGCAATTTGATGCAATTTGAGTCTCAGATGCCAATTGAGGCAGAAATATTTGCCTGGATAATTTTCATGAGTGGGATAAAATTCATGAAMTTGGGAGAAACAAAAGTTTTCAAATACAGGAGTTGTGCTTGCAGATGCTCATGTGTTTGATGCCACTGAGCCAAGAGCTGAGCCAGTGTTATCATTTAGGCACAATTCTTCTGGAAGGTTGTTTTGTCTCTGTGTGACAACCAGAAGGATTCACACACACACAAAAGGAYTGTGTTGTTTTTCAGGCCATCTTAAACGAATTTTTTTTAAAATTTTTTCTAGAAGAATGGAAGTCTTTTGCATCTGAGAATGACTGGTAACAAAATAGAAAACGAAGGTGGGATGTTCTTTGCTTCAATGCTAAATATTAACACAACCTTAGAAAAGCTGGATCTTGGAGATTGTGATTTGGTGAGTAACCCAGTAAAATTATCAGCAATAAGATATAAGTCTATCAATGGTATTACAAGGGTCTTAGTTAGGGGTAAATGCCATCTGTTRTCATTGATTTAGTGACAATAAGAAGTCTCAAATATCTAACATTGCAATGTGTGCTTGGAAAGGCACATTGCATAACGCTCCTGTGAAGTCAGAACTGGGGATATTTTAGAGCCACTGTCTCTCTCTAGGAATTCAAGTGCTTGGCTTGCACATTTTCTGAGGTCTTTTTCTGCTGTTCATTTCTGTTCAGCTAAGGYCTGTGTAATTCATGTTGAAGAATGGACTTCTCTTTCCCTGGAGAATCTTTTCCTTCTAAAGTGTGCAGTGCTGTAACACCTGAAAGTCACCCATCCCACAGCTCTGCTGCCCCTCTCAGAGATTGAGCCATAAGGGATATAAGCCCAGCAGTGCTGAATTGAGTAGAAAAGCACCCAATTTACTCTTGGACAATGTGGTTCCTCCCAGAGCTGGGTACTGAGACTTTTTACACAGTGCACAGTGAGACTTGGGAGGTTGTGAATTGCTTCTAAAAGCCTATGTTTTTCTCCTGGAAATTCAGGAATTGCTTCTAAGCCAGAAGGGGGAATACCCTCCAAAAGTGTGAAGGTGTTATGAATACATGAACAAGGAAAGTGTAGGCAGTGTAGGATTTATTGGAAAGCTCAGTATGTGTGTGCTTGGTAGGSAGTTGATAGAGTTAGTTTAAAATGAAATGGCTTTGGGTACAGACCAGCCTAATTGAAAAGTAGAATAAATATAAAATAGAGGACAAGTTAGAAGGAAATTTAAAAAAAATTCTAAATTTGYCTGATTCATACTAAATATGAATTTACCTGGTGGATAAATGTTAGGGGAACACACATAAGCTGATTTTGTCTCATAAATCAAGAAAATCAAAATACAGGATCAATTGAATGGACAAGTATCTTTGAGATACATTATTCTTGCTTTTTATTTTCTGAGTTGCCAAGTAATTTGTACTACTTAGTCTAATTTCTTTCTGCTATTCCATAGGTAGTTGGCATTGGTATTATCAGAAAATCTATTTTGTGTCTGTAAGCAGTTACCTGCTGTACTCCCATCCCACCAGAGTACACGAAGGAAGAAATAATAGTAATGGTAATTTGGGAGCTTAATCTATATGCTGAACAGGTTTCTCTAAAGAGTTTATTTATTTTCTTTTCCAGGGCCTGCAGTGTCTGGTAGCAATAGCCTTAGCTCTGACTCAGAACAAATCACTCAAAGCAATAAACCTAAATCGTCCTTTGCTATCCACCCAACAGGTATGTGAGTGTCTGTGGAGTCAGCTCAGAGAGAGAAACCCAAGTTAAATCAGTACTGATGTATTTGTGGACATCTGAACTACACAGCTCTCTGGAATTCCTTATGTACTGGGCCAAATTGTTGCAGGAATATCATTTTTSTGTGCCAAGTTTTGTGGATTYACTTGCCTGACAGCAGTTTTCAGGWGTCTGGGACAGGRTCAGTGTTTTCCTGATGGCAGGATAATGAAATTAAACTGTCATGAAGGCCAGATATTCCTCAATTCCTAAAGGTGAATTTAACAATTTGAAATGATTTTAGTAGTTTCTTTTCTAAGGTAGGGCTTGATCTGCCTAAGCCCAGCTTTGGAAGTCAATTTAAACTACTGCTATTGATAACAGTAAGGATCTGGTCTGGACCTGTCAGAGACTCTATTTGTCATTGTTCCTACCTTTAGTTCTATCATTTTTGGAGGTTTCTGGGTTTTTCCTTTATTTTTGACCCACAGTATTCACTCAGTTATTTTCTTAGCTAAACATGACAACTACGAACAAACTTTGTTTGCCTTAGAGTGAAGGACATATGTTTTCCCATAGTCCTGTTTCCTTTACATAGAATAACAGAATCATCAAAGTTGGAAAAGATCTCCAAGATCAAGCAAAAACTTTGACCAGTTCTTTCTTTTATGAAAGAATTAGCCTTATGACAAAATACTTTCAAATGTTAGCAAAGACTGACTCAACATTCAGTTTTTAAAGAGAAGTAACAGGGAGGGAAACTAATTAGACATAATTAAATATTGATGCTTCATTGATATTTGCAGGGATGTAGATAGTGCTGTAAATCTGCAGATATCTCTCTGGTATTTTTTTTCCATTTTAATTTTATCATAAGGTGTTGTTTTGCGGTTATTTTTATTCAATATGTAAAATGGAACACTACAGATGACCAGATCTTGCAATTAATTGTGTGTCTCCCTTTTACTGAAGCAAGACTATAYCTCCTAAAGCCCAGCTTTGTAAAAATGAGTGTATGTTTTTAGGAGGAGGCCACAGTTCATATAGCTTGGATGTTGACAACTAACACTTCTCTTGTGGAACTACACTTGGGCAAGCATGGAATGAAAAACTTTGGTGTAGAACGACTGTGTGAGGCCCTGCAAAAAAACTCCAGCCTGAGATACCTTGACCTTAGCTGGTGAGAGTGATTAAATGTGACATAGCCCTGGCTAACATTAGAAACTCATTTTCTTAGAGTCTTTAAAAAACAATCTAAAATATGCATTTCTCTTTCAGTAACAACATAACTGCTGATGGCGTAAAATTTTTGGAAATACTACTAAGAAACAACAAAACCCTGGAAATCCTGGATCTTGGTGCAAACCGAATAGAAGATGTGGGAGCCATTTACCTGAGTGAGGCTTTGGCTACACAGAACAGGACTCTGAGGGTGTAAGTGTTTGTGCAGATATAAGAAACTTGGACTTTGCAGTGGCTGAAATGGCATCGAAGCTCTGTGCCTTGATGTTGATCAAAATAGGAAAGTCAGGGTGTTCCAAATGTTTTSGTCAATTTTTTTCTTCTCAGGGAAAATATATGAGTGAGAGACTGGGTGGGATTTCTTTGCTAAGCATAGGTGTCTGGTGCCACATGAGATGCCCCAAGACCTTTGAGACATCCTGGGATGCTGGATATGAGACTCAGGTCTGTTCAGAGATCTCAGTGTTCACAGTCACTCGAAGAGGGTGAGGGGGAGAGCAATTGATCTGCAAGYTCTTTCTGGATCTCTAAAGTGCAGGTCGCCGTGTGTACGAATGAAAACAAGAGCTGTAGGTCTTCAGAATTTTGAGATAATCAGATTCCACGCTGGGATAAGGCACTATATTTGTTGGTTCTGATCTTCAACACTTAAGAAAATCCTCTGTTTRAGTTCGCTTCCGGGTGAACCCAGAAGAGCTGTAATCTCTCCATCAGGGTGTCTTTCACAGCCGCGTTAAACCCCTGCCGGCAGGATGTAAAAGCTGATCAAAGGTGTTACCTGAAGCCATTAGTTTTAAGTAGCAGACTGAGGAGGTGGCGGCTGCGAGGTGCCTCTGAAAGCCTTCCAGGTTCACTAATATAAAAATAACTGCCACTCCACAAAGATCAAAGCTTAGCCTGGATAAATGCCAAGGYTTGGGCTTCAAAGCAGACAAGAGATGAGACCTGGCCACCATGCAGCAAAGTCACTGACACTGAAGAACTCAGTAATGAACAGCCTGGTTGCAGGAGCCATGGAAAAGCCTTGAGAAATAGAGCAAGTCCATAATACAACTGTCTTTGGCAACATGAAAAAGATATTATACTAGAACTGGCATTGACACAAATAAATACATATATTATTAATAAAAAAGTTCAATATATATATATATATATATAATAATAAGACTAAATCATAGTTAAACTCTTATTTTTAACTAAAAGATGGGTATGGCATACAGTTGTGTAACTATTTTCTCTGCTTTCTAGGTTGTCCGTTGTAAGCAACAGTATAACTGGCAAAGGACTTGTWGCTCTTTCAGTTGCAATGCAAAGTAACATGAAACTTACCCATATTTATATCTGGGGGAACGAATTCGACAGAAACACTTGTGCTGTAAGTGTTTGGTTCTGAACTCACTTGAGAAGGTTGGGGTTTTTTTTTGTTTTGTCTTTTTATTGTTGGGAAGACAGCAATTAGTGAACAAGATGTGATTAAATTGGTCTTTTTTTTTTTTACTTGATTGTGATCTGGTGGTGCTGGAATGAGACTCCCTGGAGATGTGCACACTGAAGTGCCATGTGTTATCCTGCAAAGCCTTTACCACAGTCCAAAAGAAGCCCCACAGGTCATATCCCTGGTTTTATTTATTCCAGGCATTCTCAACGCTGATCAAGATGGGCCGCCTGGACCTGGACTGCACGGATGTGGCTCCCTACGAGGTGGACGGGGAGATTTACCTGGCAGAGCTGTCCCACGGGCCGGGGAGGCACCGCTACTGGGCCCCGCGCAGCGACGCTGTGGCCCCCAGTGCYGCCAACGCCAGCCTGGAGATTGTCCCTGTCTCGGAGTATTTGTGAGTGAGGAAACACCCCAGRGCACTCCCTGTGCCTGAGCTTTCCCTGCCTGGTTTCTAGTAAAATAGATTATATCAGTATATGAATTGTTGTATGCTGTTTCTTTGGGGTTTGGGTCTAGGAGGGATCTAAACTTGCTTGAAATGGCAACAGAGAGAAAATATCCAACAAATTATCTCAAAATTCGTTGTTAAATAATGCCCCATCTATTAGGAGTCTGTCACTATGGAAAGATTCACACCCAGACAGAGCATACTGACAAAAGCAACACCCAGRACTGTTGCTGGGCAGCAAATCAGGTATCCTGCAGAGTCAGATTCCTGCTGAAGCCAAGAGCTCTGGGGAAATCTATTTATTAGCACTGTGTTCCATGCATTCTCTCCATTTACTTAGTAATTGCATCCTTTGATCTTCTTCCAATCTAGAACTTTTTTAAAAACCAGTGTAGAGTGAACTTAAGCATTAAGGCACAGCCATACTAGAATTTAAAGCTGGTGAACTCAGGTTGCTGGGATGTAGGTGGAATTTTTATTAAATTGTAGCACATGCTTGTTTCTTGTATGGAATGGAAATGGCAACCACCACCAAACTCCCTGCCATCATTTCTTCTCATCTCATGAAAACTGCCTTAGAACATTTGTATCATAGCCCTGTGTCAATTCCTGTGCAAGACTAAGACAACATATGCATGTAATGGTAGTTAAACATTGTTTAATGGTTTGGATACTTTGTGTAAGTTTGAAAACCACTCAGTTTGTTAAACATTGTTTAATGGCTTGGATACTTTGTGTAAGTTTGGAAAACACTCAGCTTATTTCCTTTTTCCATTCACTGGGCTCATCCCTGTGAAAGTGACTTAATTTATGCTCCTAAACAGAAAAAGTCACCAAAGGACAACAAAGTTATCRCCAAGCCTTTCTTTAATGCAATCCTCTGACCCTGTAAATGTGTCTGTTAAATATCAGCATAAAGTACCAGAATAATCTGTGACTGTATGCACCAGATAAAAGCATGAGGGGAAAAAGGTAAAAAGTAATTTCAGTAAAAACAGCTGGGAAGCAGCAACGTAACTGCTGCTGTTCTGACTCTGTGTTATCACTGTGGTAGTGTAGAAACAGGAAGRCATTTGGACACCTCTTCCCCAGCTGAAATGACCAGGGCAGTTGTGAGAGCTGGTTTRGRTGGAGGTTTGKTGTTGGTTGGTTGRTTTGTTGTTTTGTTTTTCATTGCCYCCACCCCCAAACAGAAATTACTCAGGCTCAGCTGCTCCAAGAAGCCCTTGGCATCCTAAGATGACTTAGAGGACAGCCCAGAGCAGGTATGTTTGTTCTGCACAYCTGCACAGGGCCCTCCCAGCCTGCATCCCTGTGGAGCACAAAGTCCATACATCACCCTGTCAACACCCAGCTCTAGAGAGGAGCTTGTATTTGAACTCTTGTTCAACAGGAAGGATGGAGCAACAAGAACAAAAGTTGRGGATACACCGAATGTGGTGGTTTGAGAAGAATCTGCACACTATGAACRTTCCTAAATTTTGAAATAATTAGATTAGCCTATATTAGTATTTTTCTGATTGTTGATGCTCCGGATCATTGCAGGTTACACTCTGGTAGTCTCAGTACTGACACACTGGTGACAGAATTTCTTGCCAGAAACACCACTACTAGAATCAGACAGATATTTTTTTCCATGTATCTTTCTTTCCCTTGTCCGGTATATGAAGTTCAGGCTAATTTCACTGCTCTAATTAAGTCCTAATTTACTTGTATGAAGGATATTTGTTAATCTGAGATGCTAACAGGCACCCAACTCTAACAACAGCAGTGATGTGGTAAGATGGCAACACTATCATACATAAAATACMTCAGGATACACAGTATCACCTTCCCAAAGYGCTGGTGTATGTTTGARGTACTTGCACTCTATCTGAACCCTYGTGTAACARCAACTTGCTCAGCCCATAGAACACTCTGCATTATTAACAAAATCCATAAAAACACCTCATGTGTTACAGTTTTCTTTGATATTCCTTTGTAATAAAGGGCTGCAGAGTAATTCCTACCAAATTCTGTAAAAACAGCTTCTTGCAAACTAAAATAATTATTTGTGAAAAAATCTGTATTGCCTAAAGAGGCCTATGCCAGACTTTCATTGCTTCCTTCCTTTGACCTTGAAATGCTTAGATGYATCTTTTGTTCTTTGGAATGAGATAATTGGCTAGAATTTTTTTGTTAYGTTCTTCTGAGTTATTCTAGCAGCTAAAGCAAGCACAATCCTRCTCTGAAAACCATTTTTTTCAGCTTTTAGATCTCACTATACCTTGATGCAAAGCAGCATTTTGGCCCCAATTTTAAAGGGAAGGCAAATGACTAATCCAGCAGRGCAGGGGTACAGCAGAGGTTCCCCCAAATCCTGCCATGTGGAGCCCCCATGGTCCTTGTGCCAGGATGGTGACAGRGGTTGTGTCTGACTGCTTCCCTCCTGCTTCTGTTGCTACCCCTTGCATTATAAACAGGAGACACAAGGTGAGGGAAAATTATAAAACAAGTTTATTAAAGTCTAACATAAAACACTTCAGGCTAAATATGTACAACTCCCTCCCTTCCCAGGGGATTATAAAATTGAGAGTTGAGGTATATACAAATAACAGAGGAAAAATTGTATATACATGACAGATACTTTAAAAATAATTTAACCAAAAAAAATCAGTTCTTAGTCCTTATCTGAACTTAATTCTGCAAGGCTTATTGAGCCTCTCTGGGATCACAGCCCTGAAATCCTTCATGTGGGACCTCTCTGTACTTGAAAATTGTTTTGTAGTGTGTGATTTCAGAAAGGTTGTCATGCTTTGTACCCATTTAGAGGCACAAATTTGGAAGTAAATGTCATACAACGAGCTGTTCTCACCTAAGARTTTTCCAACAGTCAATCCAGATATTTAGCAATGCAGATAAGCTATTCAGGCAAAACTTGCACCAACTTCAGTGCAAAGTTGACTGAAACAGCAGTGTGACAAATCATGTCATTTTCTCTATATTACTGTTCATARAATTACTGAAATTCCTTCTTTTCTTTTGCAAGGACACATATGCTTAAAAAGATTCCATGCTTTCCCATATTAATCCCTTACCAATTACCAATACTGTTATAAGCCTTGTACTTCAAAATGAACCCAGAATCCTTAAGTCTAGGACTTAGATGTGCAGCTGATTTCCATGCATCTATTGGCAAAAGGTACAATCCAGACCTACAGCCTGAACACACCTACAAATATATATATATATATTTATATATTTTTATTTATTTTAAATCTATATTCTAGTAAATGAATACAGTTGTAGAGATCATACCTCAGCAGCTGAGATATCTTCATGAAAGATGAGGATAAAAATCAAGATTCTCAGATGGGGACTCAAGAGTGCAGGTCACTAAATTATTGCTCCAAGACAAAACTACAAGCCTGTGTATTCTATTAAGAAAGGTTAAAATTGTTGTCTTGTAAAAAATAATGAATATCCTCTTGTCTATAAAGAAAACTAAATGACTAATAAAGCAACTGTTACTGTTATAAGTATCTAAACAAATCCTGTATAAATCTAAGCACTGTATTTTTTAAAAAAGTCTGAAATCTAAGAATACAGTAATAAGCTATAATTTTAGAAATATAAAAACAGTCCAAACAAACACTATTATGGAATGCATTTTCTAYGTAGGAATGTAGTTATTGTTCAGGTTTCTTTTCAGAGCTAGTTCTCTCTCCTGCTCATTTATCCTGGATWTGTTGAGCTGCTTCTCCTCAGGTACCAGCAGCATATCATTAGTTTTTCTTCCAAAGCTGTTTAAATATGGAAGTTATCATTTGTATGGTGTTTTTCTTCTCAGTATTCATGACTAAATCTGTATTTATCCCAAGATTTCTGCTCTGCTTTCAGAGAGAGACAGTAAAGAGGAAGCTTAGTACAAGCTATACACAGTCAAGATCCCAGTTTTGTGGTTCTTCAGTCTTAAATTGCAAGGCTGAGGAATCCCTCAGGGACTACACCAACAGAAGCTAAAAGAGACAAGAGGGGAGACAAAGGGAAATGCCAAAAATAAAATCCCAGAGCACTTCATCCTTTGTCTTTTGCCAGCRTTACGAACATCAGACAAGCAGAGAAATTAAAGGCCCAGCAATAATTAGCTCCAGTGGGGACAATGTGAGAGATTCCTGCATTAAGGATGCTCCTGATGCACACAGCTGTACTCCTGCTGTCCAAGGTAGGCTTTATCAGCAAATCTAGTATATTAAAGCATAAAATGTGACCTAGCAGCAGGTTACAGATGTGCCACATACTAAAATGATCAACACAAAGAAGCAAAAGGTCTATTACTTTACAAWTACAAACATGTAGGAAGAGAAAAAAAAATCACAGTCACGCTCAGGAGTCAAGGGACCATTTGCAGACTCTTTAAATGAAATCCTCCAAGAAATTTTTCACAAGTCTTTTTAATTAAGGTGCAGATTAATTATTACTTCATGTAGAACAGAATCAGTTAAGAGGTATCTTCTATGCTCTTCTATTTATCAGTGTCTGGACACAAGGCATCGGTGKAAATAAATGCTAGCACCAAGTAAATAACCAACAAAGGATAGCTTTAAATGCATTGTTGGTACAGTATCATGACTGTTTCATTACTGTTTGATRATTACATAAATAATGATTACAATTGTAATGGCACAAACTGGCAAAATAGAGTAGAAARGTACTTCTATTGTCACCTAGTCTTTTATGACCCTACCAAGACATTAAAACATTGCTTTTTAAGTCTGTCTGTTGATAGTAACAAAGCCTGTCTTTACATGGGCCTTGCTAGGTACCAGTTTTGTGCAGTTACTGTGGACAAGTGACATGAGAGGTAAAACAATTAAAAAAAAAATTTAAATTAAAAGGAATCAGTAACAAATCCTTGTCTGGAAGAATATCAATCTGCTCAGTTGCATTATTCTTTAATGCCCCCCTCATGTAGTGTTCATTTATTATTTTCACAGTGAAGGGCAGGATTTATTTCCTCTTTTGTACCTCCTGTCTAATACAAGCAGTGCCACTACAGCAAAAAAGGGATTATGAAGCTCTGATTCATGCCTCACTAATAACTCACTGCATCTTTTCACCTCACCTACAAACATGCATGTTCCAGCTCTCCTTTTGTTGCAATTTGTGCCAAACCTAGGTTGTTTAGGGATGTGAAAAATAAATTGGGACAAGATAAAACAATGCTAGATTCACTTAAAAACAAACAAATAAAGGCAACTTGTTGGTGAGAAGACCCAATAGTATCTATGCCATTAGGACCCTCCAACTTGCCACACTACAGATTAACCCTCCTTTACTTTTCTTGTCAGGAAAATACACCCAAACCCTTCTTTCCCTCTGGTCAGGCTTCACCTGATGATGGCACTTCTGGCAGCCAGCAGCAAATCCATTCAAGCACCTCAGCAGAGCACTGACCTAYCTTCACCATGGGCCATTTGAGCACCTTGGAGTGCAGGCTTATTAATCCATGCAAATTATTATTTTCCCCTACACCTCCACCTCTGGGTTAATCTTCCTCAACTATCAAATATGGCTTAAAATATCTGCTCTCAAATGACATTGTGACACATCAAATCAGCAGGAACATGKGAARAGAACKCCAAAATACATTAACAGAAGTAACRGAGAATTCTTAAGGCAGGTGTTGCTGGAAAGGAATCATCTCCWGGAAATCAGTGTTAATCACAAATAGAAATCTGATTGTAGATTAGCACAATTCAGCACTGCACAATGGAAATGCCTTACAGGTGTCTTTACACAGAGGAGAACAAAGAACAAGTCCAATTCAGAAAGCATGACTGCATGTTTGATTGTGTTCATTTTACCAAGTTCACTACCAAACTACCTGGATGGCTCTGCACTGCCCTGTCAGTACAACTGCTGCAGGAAAATAAACTGAGGTTCTGAATATCCAGTCACAGCAGATCTCAGTAATGTTTCTGATGAAGGGGACTGGCTCCCTGTCACGGGGAGCAGCATCTGATGGTCTTCAGTCCCAATGGGGAGAGGAAGTGCTAAAGACATCTCAGAGGGTTTCACATCTATGGACTCTGATAAAGGACTTTTCTGACTCTGAATGGATTCTTGTTCATTGAAAGAATTATCAAGTGCAGTAGAATCGGGGGGAGTTTCAGGTCCTGTGGAAACAAAGAAAAGTTTAAAATCTCATGCACAAATTCTGTAATTCTGTAAATTCCCTTTCCAATGACTGTCAGAGCCAACACTTGGCGTGCCACAGGCTGCCTGGGAGTGGGATATTGGTGCTTCCATGTGCTGCAAAGCCAGAGCAGCTGCCAGTACAATGTAAGCACTGGGAATCACATCTGCTGCTGCCTGCAGTGTGGCAACTGGAAGGATGATGATTTCCAACCTGATTTCTACTTGGCATGGTACAGAAATAACAAACCTTAACATCAAAGTGAACAAA